AATATACAAAGAAAATCAACAATAATGCGTTATAAATTTAGTTCTATTGTCGTAACATATTTCAAGCATGTGAACTAGTAAACAAGTTCTTTTTACTTTCATTGTTAATGCTTACTTGATAGTTGTCTACTTTTCTTATTTCGTTTCTATTTTCCCACAGTTTAATAAAGTAAATTATTTTTGTTTTGATATAATAATACTAAATACTTCCGTGACAGAAATAACTTGACTACAATTTTTTAACAATCGTACGATGTTATTATGTCATTACGATTTCAGTAGTTTGTACTGACATATACGTTGTTCCTAATAATGAGCTATTATTTCATCATAAAATACTCAAACTACGATTCAAAAATAGATGAATATTTTAGAATTTATATGCTCCTTAATCAGACAAATGTTTATTTAAAATATTGAAAATATTCTCATGAAAATGATGTAATTTAAATAAAGAACAAACAATTTCATGATCATGTTTGTTAAAGAGAAAGAAAATACGTAATCACTTATCATTCAATAATGACTCCAATTTTTCCTCATATTCTGCATTATTACAACAAAAGTCTTCCCATTGTTCAATAGTCGCTTGTTCACATCGATTGATTTTCTTATTTGTTACTTGTCGACCAGATGACTCATTTCCATTAAGAAAAAATCCATGTTTACCTTTCTTACAACCACCTTTATATATTGTTATGAATGTTTCATCGCAACAGATCCATTTGAATTTTGTTTTTTGTCGTTCATATTCGTTACGTTGATTAACATCATTAAGAGCCTTACGTTCAAGTTTATTTAATATCTTAGCTGCATCACTTGGTGCATATATTGTTGGATCAGCTGCCGAATTATCATAAACGAAACCATCATGATGACTGCAACTACCTATAACGAAAAACATGAGTATTGATCTAGACACTATTTATAAATAAGGACGTACCAAAACGATTGTCATTTTCAATATAAAAATCTTTACATTTAACACATTTGATAAGTTCTTCAGCCATGCGTCTTTCTAATTCTAATTCTTCTTGTTCTTGATATGTACGTGGAAATTGTGTTTCTTCAGCAAATTGTCGTAATAGAAATGGTTCACGAATTACAGCGATTGCCCATCGTTCAACATTGTCTGTTTCATTTTTGTGAATATCTTCCATAACTCGATCACGAAATCGAGCAAGTACATATGTATATATACTTTGATTATGTACTGAACATGAAATTGATGGACTCGCATTCGAATATGATTGTGTTTTATGTATACCAACTAATGCATCTAGATCGTAGACAATCATTGAACGTGAATAAGAAATACATTCATCATAACGATCTTTTAATAATTCATAGACTTTTCTTTCATCGTAAGCACCTTGTGATGCCAATAAATTGAGATCAATTAATTGAAGAAGTTGAACATTACGACTTTTTCCATATGCTGTTAAACGTTCAAGTAGAGTTTGAACATTTGTTTCATATGGATATAATTTACGTTCGACAACTGATATTTGATTATTATTTGTGTTAGGTTTTTTTGTAATTATTTCAATACGTATACGTTGATTTTGTAAATCGACAATTATACGTCCTGTATATGTTATAGTTCGTGGTAATTGATAAGGATGGTGATTAGTTTCAATAAGTTGATTACGTAAAAGTAAACGAGGTAATGTTTCACTACCAATAAATATTTGATATTGTTGAGCTATAAGATCAGCTAGTTGAAGTGCTTCAATTTCACCCATAGGTTCTGAAAGCTTCATTTTAATACATTTAACAGTGATTGCTCGTGTCAATGCTCTAATCATTCATAATCAACAATAGAAAACAATCTTTAACAAAACACTTACTTGACAGCAGCTCCACTAAAATTTGTTGTAGCAATTGATAGTTGATCGAGTACTTCTGGTTCGAGAGCCCAAAATGGTATTTTTTGAAGAATACTACGACGTGCATTTGATGATGGTCGACCAACAAAAAATTTACCTGACATACGACGTAAAAATGCTTCATCCATTATATGTAAACGGTTAGTTGCACTCAAAATCATTAAATTCGATATATCTTTGATGCCTTCAATTAGTGATAAAAGCACAGAAATCTTATCTATTTTGCCTTCACTTGAATCTTGACCACGTTTCGGTGCTAATGAATCAATTTCATCAATTGATACACAACACATAGCATATGGTATTTGATTACAACGTGAACATAATGCAATTATTATGCGTTCACTTTCTCCAACAAGTGGTCGATTTAATTCACCAGCTGCTAATGGTGGGCCCACCATTACTATACCTATTTTTTTTGCCAATTTACTCAATATATCTGATTTACCAGTACCTTTTTAATAGAAACAAAATATAATATCAATTCACAAAAAAGATTTCAAAAGCGCACATGAAGCATGCGTTATAAAATATTTCAGATTTTAATCATTTTTAATTCTTTCAATTTATTAAGACTTTTCTCTGTTAAAAACCTATTTTCGTGTCAATGGATGTGGGTGACCCACATTTACCTCTATAACCCTACAAAGAAGGATTTTTACAATTCTTCTTCGTTAATTTTTCGTATCAATTCATTTTTCTTCAAAAACTCTGAAACAATATGAGTAATTATGTGCTCTCAAAAATGAAGTCGAAAATGAAACCTTGAGCTCTGTTAAGTTTCAAACAAAGTTGAAAGCCTATAGGTAAAGACACAGGACTGCAAAAATTAAGGAATAACAGAAGTTTCATTTTTGTCAAACAAATCTAAGAAATTTTTTATTTCGAAATTCAACTTACCTGGAGGCCCATATAAAAGTAGACCACGTGGAGGTTTAACTAGTTGATTATCAACAGGTTGCTGAGGTGTGTTCAAATTCGTTTCGATCATATTCAAACGTTCCTTTTCTTCTTCAATTTGTGTCTCGAAATCCGTGATTTTCATTCTAATAGTATTTCTCATCTCTTGTAATTCATTCAATTTTTTAAGTAGACTGGACTTCTGTTGTTCGAAGTCTTTATATGCTTGATGAAGAATTAGAGCCTGTTCTTTAGTATGCCTTCTTGACTTCCATCTGAATAATCTCAATGGATTTATAGTTCCTGTATGTTCGATATTATTGCTCTTTGAATGCAACGTTGCTGCTTTATTAAAATAACACCGTTGTGCATCATCAATACTTTTCTCTACTCTACTTATTTCATCGTTATATTTATCATATTGTTTTACCTCTTTCTCATGATTAGTTTTGAGTTCATTGAGATTTCCAAGTAACTTTTCACGTCTTTCTGACCAACTACGTTGAATATGTCCATCTGATGACCAATGTAAATGCAATTCTTGTTGAGAGATAGTGAGTGGAAGAAAAAATTCTTTCATTCTCGAAAATAAACCATCGTCGACAAAACCTTCAGATTGCATTTCTTTAAATGCTTCATCTAAACATTTTGTTTCAAGTTTAGATAAATTACCAAATCTTTTTACTGCTGGTTGATCACGTAATATATCACATACATATAGTTTAATCAAATGCAGATTTGCATAAAGTTCAGAGTTGGATATTGATAAATTCTCTTCAATATACAAATAGATTAATTATAAATGACATAATTATTGATCGACAAACCTGATATGTCAAGAACTTCAGTCTTTTCTTTATTTTCATTTTTAGAACTATTTGTAATTTGTCGACGTTGTTCGCTAACATTACTTATTCGATGTCGATCAGTTGCTGCTCTCAATATTCGCTTTGCATTTACAGTCAAACCTGGAATTCTATCCCATTCTGTTCGATCTAGACTAGCCAAATGTTCAAAGTTTACTATTTCTGTATCTCGAAGTGCTTTTAACCAATCATCGCTTCGACTATTATTCTCTTGTGCACAAACATTTCGTACAAATGTGTCGAGTGAGTTCGTATATAATCTATCGAAATGTGATAATGATGTTTTTTGTTCATTGTTATTGATTGTTTTAATTTGACAATAGATCGAAACATTATCAGCTAAATGCCATCGATTTGGAAATCGAGTATTGTTATCATGAGGTACAAGCTCTAAATCAAATAGACCACGTAAATGATCATATTCCCATCGATCGAATTCGTCATTCAATCGAATCGATTCAACAAGACGAAAACGAGTCGAATTGAAATGAACCGTTGATATAACGACAGAATGTTTGGACATTTGTTCTCGAATAAATAAATAGAGTAGGCAATTAACATCGAGAACAAATGATTGTTGGTCAGTGGTCGGATTCGATGTTGATATAGTAGGGCTATATAGAAAGAATATATATGATTCGAAAGAAAAGACAAAAACTTCTATTACATTTGTAATGATTGATCTAATTCCGAGATTGGTTGTAGTAGAAATGATCGAATAAAAGTAGATACTTGAGAAAAAGCCATTTTAATGTTAACCAAACAATCAATCTCATTAAGTAACTTTGCACTATCACCATTGTTCAATGGAGATGAATCTTAAGATGACAATAGAATTTAGTAGTTTTTGAATATGTGTACAGGAGGTGCTTCTCTTTAATATTGTATTATAGAATAACTTTTCAACTAATTTTATCGATTCAAATGTAAGATTTGTTTCATACTGAAAAACAATTTCTTAGTCCTGATGAATGTTCTAGAAGAATGAAACGTTTTCTTTATATATTGCTACTCATTATGAAAATTTCTTTTTTCTTCTTATGGAAATATATATTTCTGTAAAAAAAAAACGTAGATTGAAAAATTCTTTCTCTATACCTTTATTAACAGTAGTAGTAACTGAATTTGTTTTGGAAGAAATAATATTTGATTTTTTCAAAGTTGATCGATGTTGTGATGGTATTGCATTATCAAATCTAGTCTGTGCAACTAACTGAGAATCATCTGCATTTGAAGATATAACACAATCACATAATAATCCAAAATCATTCTCATCATCAATTTTAATTTTAAGTTGTTGTGCTACTTTTTTAATTGCAAAATCGTCAATCACCACAGGAAATGATCCACCACATTCTTGTTGATAATGTTCACGGATAGTACCGAAATTTTTAGTGTTAAAACCTATGTCAGACTGTAAATAGTCGACGACTGAAATCCATTGTGCATCCGCCATTGCTTGTCTGTGGATTGATTCTTCTGTAGGTTTCTAATATATGTATATATATATATATCTACTGTAACTTTCGTGGTATTTATATATGAATGTGAATGTGAGTTCTGATTTATTTGAAATGATAAAGATAACAGAGACGAAAGCAACTATATATATAGAGAGAGAACGGAGAAAAATAACTGTATAAAAAAGGAAGAATTCTATGTAACACGATATCTATATACGTGTAAGAAGAAAGACAAAGAGCAATATAATTACACAGGGAAAAATTGCTTGGAAAGTAAATAATCTTACAAAGTAAATTCCAAAATGAAAGAGAGTCATATGTATTTTGGAAATTACTAACATCTACTTCTATGCAACTATCAATAAATACTTCTATAAAACACGGAACAAAAAATTTCCTTCTTATAACAAATAAGCTCAGAATATGTAAAAAGAATCCTGCGATTTCATTACATTGAAGCTTTGAAATGATGCTTTTTCCCATCTGATGATTCATAAGAATGAATCGTCACTCAATCCTACAAAATATTGTGATTTCAATGTCGTACGTATGTTGGAATTCTCTCAGTTTCTTTCGTTCTTTCTTCGCATCTACGTCATTGGTAAATCTTGAAAATAAAGTATAAATAACTACTCAAATTTACATTGAGAAGTACAGAGAGCTCTATGATCGTTAATCATTATGGTCTGTTTTTTTTTATGCCATAGCTATTTAATCATTTCGACAGCGGATAAAAAGAACAAAGATAAGATATTGTTGATTGTTTATTATGCAAGACAATAATAACTTATGTAATCCATGAAACAATTAATCTGACTTGTAAATAGCGAATTTTAAAAAATATTTTAGAGAAAACTTGAATTTTGTCAACGCTAAAATACACTTTTATACTTCATTATGTACAAGAATAGTAATGAAAAATTCGAATTTTTCACCTACATCAGTTGTGCAATTTTCAATAAAACTCATTGTTTAAATGATACATCTCTGTTTTATTATGAAAGGTATGCACATTAAAACGAGCAACAAATTCGCTTTATTCTTGAAAAAAAAAGAAATATGTCATCAAAACGAGGTGAATTCGAAGACAGATTTGGAGGAAAAACGCTTACTCATATGCCAAGTTGGATGTTTCATCACCATAAATATTTACGTTTGTTTTTATTACGTTCTCGCATCTCTTCGTCTGTGCGTCATTAAAATTCACAAAGAAAACAAATGTAAAGATTTGCTGGTAAAAACCCACGAAATATAGGTTTCATTTATGGTAGCTTTTATTCCCAATGTAATGACATCACTTGGACAAAGCCAGTATAAATACAAATAAAAATACATTGTTATTTTCTTATTCTACTTTAGAAGAATAACTAACTTCATGGATTACACATACAAGACGGGCGCGAAACCATATATGTACGATAGGACATATGAAGAATGGGATGAACAACAATTAAAACGGCTTGAAAATCAAAGACAAATTTTTCAAGAAAAGTTAGACGATGCTAAAGCTAATAAATCAGAATTACGTGATGAAAAACAAACATATAAACATGAAGCAACTACACGTCTAAATGAAATACGTCGACTCAATGGAGAACTCGTAGAAAGAAATTCTGAAATTGAACGAGTCGAACAAGAACTTGAAAGTTTACGTGATGAAAAATTAAAATCTGAAATCGAATATCAACAACAAGAAAATGAATATATTCATTTGAAACAACAACTAAAACAAAATGAAAATGAAATCGAACAACTTAAAGAAAAACTATATGAATTAAATGAAGAAAGAATTCGTTTTGAAGAAGAATCAAAAAATTTAAAAGAAAAATGTCAAGATATGAAAAATAAACAAGATAAACTTCTTGAACAAATTCAAAAACTTAAGGAACAACAAGATGAATTACAACTGAATATAGATAAATCAACAAAAGACATTGGTCAAATTGAAAATAAAATTAATCAATTTCGACAAAAAATAGGTCAATTCGAACAAGAATTAACTACAATTGAACAGCGACATAAGGAAGTTGAACAAAAATTAAATGCAAATGAATCAGCTCGTGATTGTCTTGCAAATGAAATTAGAAAGATTGAAAATATGTGTCGACGTCTGGAACAATTAATTGATATGAAAAGAAATCGAATGAATGAATACAATCAATATAGACAGCAGTTACAAGCTGAAGAGACTCAAGTTCAAACCGAAATAGCTCAAACAAAACAAGAACTTATTACACTTCAAGAAAAAATGAAATTCTTACAAGATATTACCGTGAAAACTCGGGTGGAAGTAAATGGATTGAGAGAAACGATCATACAATCGGAAAGACTAATGCAACAATTAAATCAACAAAAACAAAGTCTTGAGTATGTAAATTAAGAATTTAATCGTTGTACAATTGTTTTTTGAACGAAGTATATTCAATAGTGTAAGCCAGGATGAGATATCAAATTCATTCGATTGAAAGATCATTAATAATTATTAGAGCTTCTTCCAAGCGTTTCCTGTATGGACCGATAGGTTTATTTAATGATAGAATACTTTCGAAGTATTAATCCGTACATAGAACGAACTGAAATTTTTCGAAATCATAGATGTCATAATACCATTACACTAGGTATCGGGGATATGATGACTATTCAGCGAAAAATATAAAACCGAAGGATTTTTCAGCGAAGAAAAAAGGGCGAAACGCACTATAGCAAAACTATATTTCAGTGAAGATTCATAACAGCGAAAAAAAAGAATTGCGAAAAACAAAGCCGCGAAAAATCATAACTGCAAAAAAAAATTAACGAATCTGAAATATAGCAAAAATCAACATCGCGAAAAGTGTTTCGGTGAATTTTGTTTCTTAAAGAAATTGAAATTGATTGTTTATGTTTAACGCTGATTCATCGTGATGAATGTCTATAGGATGTGGGTGTTGCCATTCTTCTTCCATCCAGCCATATCCAAACCCATACCCCATCCTCACACCTTCACACTTCCACTCACACTACCCACACACCCCTACACTAGAGCCCGTCGGGTAAGATCCAGACCTGGATCCGCTCGGGTCCGGGTCCGAAAAAAACAACAAAACCCTTCTTGACTATACTGTCTAACCTGACTTGTCATTGTGTTTGGATTCAAAAAATTTAAGCGACCGGGTCCGGGTCCAAAAATCCTGGGCCCGACGGGCTCTACTCTACACCCACAGTCACACACGACATACTCACATATCCCCACATCCTCATACTCCCACCCTCTAGACTGCTATTCTATATTCCGCTGTTTTGTCTTTCGCAATTCGCTTAAAAGTGTTTTCGCTGTTGCAAGTTTTTTGCGAAAAAAGATTTCGCGTATATACTCTTTCGCTGAGCTAATTTTCGGTATATAGTTATTTTGCTTTATTTTTTTTGCTCGCTTGTTTTTCGCTTTTTTCATTCGCTCAAAAATTTTCGCTAAAGAATCATTCGCTGATTTGGCACCATATCCAAGAAGTGATGACTTCATTACTCCATAAATGAACTATATGTTTCTAAAGTAGAGAAATTTGAGCGAATTTGGTGTATTACCGTGAGAGTGGGTGTGAGTGCCGCTAAAATGAGGGGAAGACTGACACCCATACACCCACACCCTCAATATATTCGCCAAGTTTTGGTGTATATTTATACCTTAGGATATCAAGCTGGATACGCTTGAGAGTATCGTATCATATATGAAACTGGATACTCCTCCATCAAATATCCGGGGACTAGCTTAGAAAAAAATACGAGTACTGGGTGTAACGGGATTATGACATCACTCTTCGAAATTGACCATAGAATTGCAGATGTTAATGAAAAATTGAAATACGAAAGTAAAGAAAAAAAACACAAGCTTCTAGATGAAAAATATTTTAATTTAAAATAATATGCATATGATGGCTAACAGGGATGCCAAATGATAATTTCAAAAATCAGTAGTTCTTCTTTTGAAAATTAGGAGTTTGTCAAGAGAATTTTTTTCAGAATCAGGAATAAAATTAAGAGTCTCTTGTCAGATTTTATCTGACAAAATACAAGTTTTAACTAGTCTACACAGTTCTGGTTTCTAAGTCAACAAGATCTACTGTGTCGTTGAAAGAAAAAAATCTCTTGTAAATGAAATAAATAAAGCAAGATTATTAATTTCATAATGTTTATTTCCATATTCACATCGTGACTACCTATTAGAATATACAAAATATATAAAGATAAACCCAAATTAAGAAGTACTATAATCAAAAGTAATATCATATACTTGTGAATAATACATTGAAAACAGGTGTTCTACAAATAATTTTGTTTAATTAAAATTTCATGCTACAGAAGAAAGCCTGCACGGGGTCCTCTCGACTGGTCCCCCTTGCCAATTATCCCAACTGGTCCCCCCTTAATTGACTCTCAATTCGTCCCCAACAAAATTCGTTCATAGTTGATTGACTCTCAATTCGTCCCCTCAATTAGTCCGTCCTTGTTTAGAAACAATGAGAAACAAATACACGAATAATAGTCATCAATCAGAAAATTGATTGCTGCCTAGCCCACTCTGTATATATATATATATGATGTGTTTTCTTAGTAGTGTATTACATTCATTACTGACATTCTCTCTGCTCTAAGAAATGCTGTTATTCACATCTTCGGAGCGTGGTCAACCTATACTCAATTACAATTCTCATCAATACACAAAGAAGCGTGCACGAAAGACGAGCAACGAGTGGCGTTGTCGAGATCGTGGCTGTGCTAGCACGCTTTCTCTTTGCACAACCGATGCAAAAGTTCTTCGCGAGCCCTCTACTCATACTTGTCAACAATCAGCTTCTGCCGGCAAATCTCTAGTCGATAAAGCAGTTGGTAATATGAAAAAACGTGCACGAGAGGAGACTACGCCGATTCCAAAAATCTATACACAAGAAATCGTTAAAGTTCGCATCAGTCATCCCGGTCTAGCGACTGGTCTATTCTTTCCTACATTTGAGAATGTTGATGCTTCACTGTATCGAAGTCGATCGAAGAATTATCCATCATTGCCGAAGTCACTGGTCGATCTCGTTCTTCCAGACGTTTGGCGACTTGCCAAGCACGGAGAACCGTTCTTGATCGTAGACGAGCTGTATGGAGAAGATCGGCTGTTGATGTTTGCATCAGACTGGAGCCTCATCTTTCTTTCTGAGTGCGAGCAATGGCACTCAGATGGCACATTCAGAATTCGCCCTCTCATTTTTGCCCAAGTCTACATTTTGTGTGGCTTCTCGAACGGCTTCATGATCCCGTGTGTGTACTGTCTTACGACGAAGAAAGACGAGCAAGTTTACATGAAGATCTTTGGCCACGTGATCTCGCTTGCTCGAAAGCTCGACCTCAATCCCCAGCCACGGCGACTCGCGATTGACTTCGAGATCGCAACTATGAACTCTTTCTGTCGTCTCTTTCCTACAGCATCTGTCACCGGCTGCCTTTTTCATTATGCACAGAGTCTTTGGAGAAAAATCCAAGAACTCGGTCTCATTCGTCATCTTTCGCCTTCTACAGACGAGGAGAACACTGACATTTCACCGGAGGAGAAGAAACGCGCGAATCACTGGTTTCTCGCTGCTATTGGTCTTGCCTTGATTCCTCCTGAACTGATTGAACGTACGTGGACGGAAGTTATGGATGAATATACTCCCGAGCATGTATCTGCAACCAAATTCAACGATTACATCGTTTCTACGTACGTTGACAGCAGCTCTGCACGCTATCACGCAGAGATATGGAATGTTCATGAGTTGTTGGTCAACAAACTACCACGCACGAATAACCACGTTGAGGGCCTCAATCAACGACTCAAATGTCAGTTCCCTGTGCATCCGCACATCTTCAACTTTATCGAATTATTGCGCGAGGAGCACGAATACCAGCATCACAAGTCCGAAGAGTCGCGAGTTCAATTGCGCAAACGAAAGAAGGTGAACGATGCTATTGACGAGAATCTCGAGCTCCTTCTGAACGACCATAAGGGCGGATTGATCACTGATATGCAACTCGCGATCAAATGCGGACGCGCTTTGAAGACAAAACTTGTCAAATGATTTTTGTTTCTTTTGTTTTTTTTCTTGTTTCTTTGTTACTCTTGAATAAACCAGCTGATTGTTGAAAATCGTCTGTTTATCAAATTAGTCACCAATTAGTAGCCATTGGATTGGGGGACGAATTGAGAATCAATTAATAGGGTACGAATTTTGTGGGGGACGAGTTGAGAGTCAATTAATGTGGAGGGGACGAATTGGGGACGAGTTGGGGACGAGTCGAGAGTAACTCGCCTGCACTGATTCAACGTGTTGCTAATCATCAAGTAATTGAAAAAATAAAATTAGAACAAATCAGGAGAAAATCGTAAAAATCAGCTCCTAAAATCAAGACATTTTTTCATCAGGAAAAAATTGAGAAAATCAGGAGGTTTGACAAGGCTGATGACTAATCAAAATGATGAAAAATAGTTTTTTTGAGAAATAGATGGTACATACGCAAAATTTCGAAGGACAACCTATGTACGCTACTTCTTGTTTTTGCTAAAGCACAAAATTTTTAATTTCTGACTTTATTTTTTAATTTATCAAAAATTTCAAGGAAACAAATACAAGCAAAAAATCAAGAACGAATCGATATTAATCTTAAACAACAAAATGTTTCTCAACAAGTTCAATTGACAACTAATGAATTAATAATGACTAAAGAATCATTAGAAAAATTGAATGAAACTTTAAAAAATCTTCAAGAAGAAAAACAAAAACTCGAAGCTGATCTTGAACGTATGACTACTGAAAGAAATCAATATGAATCTCAAATGAATCAAGAAAGACAAACAATACAACAATTAAGACAAGAACTTCGAATTGCAACTATAAAACAACATAAATATGAACGAATTGTAGCGGAAGAAAAGAAAAAAGTACGTTCATGTGAAAAAAATCTTAAAGCAAATGAAAGTATAGAAATAGCAGCTGAAACTGATCGAGTAAAAGCTGTGCAAGATCGAATTCAAGCAGAAAATAATCTAAATACTGCAATGTTGGAATTAGATGAAGCTGAAAGAGAATTAAAACTCGCCAAAAATGCCAAAGTTAAAGATCAAGATGCAATCGATAAAGCTCGTAAAAATTATCAACGTTGTCAAAATGAGGTCAATAACAGGAAAAGTATTTTTGAGAACAGTAAACGAGTTCTAGACATTCGGAAAAAAAGTTATAATGATATAAAGACTTTAGTAAGTTCGCTTCGACAACAATATCAAGAAGTGACAGATAGTTTGACAGAAAAAGAACAACAACTTGACAAGCAAAATAAAGAAACTATTGAAATAAGAACTAAACTTGGTAATCAACAAGTGAAATATAATGAAATTAAAAATAATTGGAATCGATTATCAAAAGAATGTAAACAACTGAAAAGTCAAATTAGTGATAAAAGTTCAAAAGAACGCAAATTGAAAAGTGAAATTAATAAAACAACAAACAAAATAGAAAAATTCACAAAAGATATTCAATCAATGAACGAATCCATCGAAAAATTTAGACAAAAAATTCAAAAATTTGATGAAGACTTAATTCAATTAAACGAACAACTACAGAATAAAGAACAACAATTTCAAACAAAACAAGATGAAACTCGACAAAATGAAATACAACTAAATAATAAACTTATTGAACTTCAAATGAATGAACAACAAATTCAACAACAACAGAATATGATTAACGAACACAATACAATACTTCAAAGAGCAAATAATAATATGGAAAATATTAAAACTAATATAGCTAAAATTAGCAGATCTGCTTTTGATTTAGAAGTTGATTTAGCTGAACAACAACAATTATTACATAGTTCACAAAGAAAACAAGAAACATTGAATAAAGAATATAATAAAATTCAAGAAGAATTACTAATACAACAGCGAAAAAAAGAACAACATGAGAATGATATACGTGATTTATCTTATCAAATTAATGAACAACAAAATCTTTTAAAACAAAAACAAGATAATCTAACTGATTTACAAGATCAAGTCAAACAAAAACGATTAGAATTGAATAAAACTCAAGAAAAATATAATTCTCATAAAGAACAATTTGATAGTACTCAAATAGCATTAACAAATATTGATCAGCAAATAAGATATATTGATGTTCAAAGGCGTCAGTCCGAGCGTAATATTGAACAAAAGGTTAATGAAACACAAACTATTAACGAAGCTTTTAATAAGAAGCGAATTGAAATTGATAATAGGAAACAAAATTTGAAACGAGTAACGAATGCTTATGATGAGAAAAATAGAGAATACAACGCAATGTACAGAAACAAGAACAATATTGTCAGTAAAATTGATCATCATCAAAAGGCTCAAATTGAAGCAAATAGAAACGTTCAAGAAACAAACAATCGATTAACAGCAGAGCTTAGAACCATTCAACGCTTAGAAGATAGTCTCCATGATTTGAATTCGACGCTAATACAAAATTTACCTTATGAACGAACAAATAATGATGTAGCACAAGAAGCAGCAGAGCTCAACAAATCGGAAATTGATAAATTTGATCAAGACGAGTACGAGTTATATTATGACTTAACTCAAAGACAATTCATATATAATAAATATTAGTATATGTAATATTTCGTTTTGTTTTAAATCATCATTATTCTTTCTTTTTTTTTCTCCAAATTGAAAAGTCGATGGATTTGTAAAAACTTTAATCATTTTATTTTATTTATCTGTCTGTTTAAAATCTAGTTTTTAATTCGATATTTGTATAATATCTTATATATTTCTGTTTTTAATGAGTACTTAAGACTTTGATTGTTGTATTCATTTCAAAACTGTTCCATTGGCGATGGTCACTATTCATAAATGCTGATTTGATGAACTTCTCCATATAGATTGAATTGTCATTTTTTTTTCAAGAAATTTTTAGTCTCTTATTCAGAAACTACAACAGACATCTTGTATTGTTGTTTTTAGAATTGTATCATAAACTTTTATTTCAGATAATATCATTACAATCACGATTAAAATAATTTGATTATATTGCAAATTTGAAACCTACAAGTATATTGTTTAAATTTTTTAATTATGGTTTAGGAAGAAATTTATATCTATTTGTTAATCGAATCATCTCTCTTTCTCTCTCTCTCAATGTGATGTGTTTTGCATGAGAAGAAGTTTCGTTAGAATATAAAAACTAAAGTAAGTCTGTAAAATAATCTCTATTTACTATTGTGATTGATTTGGTAAATTTTCAATTGTGTTCATCGTCGATGATGTTACTTGCATTTCAGTGCGAGTATTTCGTCGATAGCGCCATAGCGTAATTTGTTTCATTATTAATCGATAGATCAGCTCAAAAAATTCCATTAAACTTAACGTACTCAGACCGATCCAGGGTGTGGGTGTGGGTATGTGTGTGTGAGTGTTCTCTTTCATCTAATCCACACCTACACACACCTATACACCACATCCACACCCGCACCCACACCCACACCCCACATCCACACCCGCACCCACACCCACACCGCATCCACACCCACACCGCACCCACACCCCACACACACCGCACCCACACCCACACCACCCACATCCACACCCACACCCACCCCGAAGACTTTTTAGCAGAATTATACAATTATATTTTCGCGCTTCTTCATGATCGAAAATTTCCTCGAGTTCAGCAGGCAATTCTTACTATTATCAATTCAGAAGTTTCCTCTATCTATAACACTAAAGAACATGTCTTTTTTTCAGATGACACAATTACTCATTTAAAGAGAGTAATTCTCACACATATTGATTCTCTAGAAAATGTTCTATCTGTCTGTTTACTAACTTATGGTAATTGTTTACTGAAGTTACAAGAATTTAATATGAGTCGAAATGTATCAAATGAGATTCAGGATTTACTTACTAACCTTTCTGAGACATCACGATTGGAAGTTGTCTCTATTAGAGCTGCTTTTTGTTTAATTTTCGCGCAAAACTTGAATCTAACCTGCCGTATGATATTGAACCGGTTTGAAAACCAGTGGAATGTAACAATTAAAAATAAATACAACATATTGTTGCAACAAACATTATTTAAAGTAAAAGATTACTCATTTGATAAATGTGTGGAAGAAATTGTTAGTCACATACAGATATATTCTGTTGAACTCATTGACACATCTGACAACGATCTTTAGTAATACCTCTGCGAAAAATATAGGGGTATGTATCTTTCCGATTCAGAACCCAACTATATTCGTGTAGCATTGAAGTTTATTGGTAAAAATTTCCAAGTGTTTCGTAGTGCTATACAGAGAACTAATTTCGGTGAAAACGAGTTCAAAAGACACCTCAGTCTATGTTTCTATCAAGCAAATGAACCAACAGATCGCGTAGAAATAGTAGAGCTTTATGCTACATTTGGTGTATTTACAATAGAACTTGTTGACATATTGAAATGGATCCCAGAGCATATTTGGAAGCAGAAAACATGGATCTATCTTGAACACGTCAGACAAGTATTAGATCGAGACGTTATTGAAGAGTTGTTTCGACTTTTAAATTGGACGGTATCTGGTATTAATTCTAGTTGTTTTTTTTTATACATTGAAAATACTTATTCAGCTTGCTCAGACTCATGTTGTGTCTTTGATGGAAGTGTATCAATGAGTCTCATTGATCATCGAAAATGTTCCGTATCAGAATGATTATAACTATTGAAATGGTGGTGTGGATGTTTTTGATCTTTTATTAAATCTTAGTTCTATTAAAAAGATACGTTCCTCGAATTCCAAGACGGAATTGATAACTGAGAGTGATATTGCGCAACAATTTGAAGGAGAAATTCAGGAGCTTGAAAAGAAGTCAGCTCTGTTTCTCAGAAGAAATTATTTTCTTACCAGTATTCGATCAGTTTCGAATAATTTCGATTAAAAAGATTGCCCGATTCTCCTATTAAACTCTGGCACCAATATATAGTTTTCTCGATAATAAGCAATGTCATGATCCACTGTTATCCAACTTGACATTTCTAGTGTATCGGATAAAATGTTTTTATTACTATCCTTCATATTCTAAATTGTTTGTTTTTTTTTGTATATGTTCAACGTGTATTCTTTTTACACAAATAAAAACATATTCTGCTGATATTTTCCATTTACAATCAATCGAATCCATAATTAACACATTCAACGCGATTCGATTTTACTAGAGAGTAGCTCTATAGATTCATTTTCGTGTGCATTCGCCTTTCGACACATACACTCGTTGAAATTTTCATTCTGTGCTAGCCCGGTTTTTTCTCTTTTCTGTTTGTAACATCGCATGGAGCAAAGTAACCATTCTGCAATTTCGCGAAAGTCATGTGCGATCTGTACTGCTTGGCATGCCTTTCGAGACGTTGAAACTTGGTCCGGGACCAAAATCAACAAGCCATTCGAAGCGCAAACTCATTGACCACAAGCTCGAAGAAAAGGAAGGATCTGCAGCAATGTCTGAGGATATTGTGCTGGCTGCTATGAGAAGACTAGAGAACAACAATCAAGAGAAGTGAGCCTGGCAACAGCAAAAAAAATCTTCTGTTCTGATTATGACAATTTTTTTTGTCTTGATTGTTTTAACGGAAAACATCATGCTATGCAATAAATGATTCAAACAATAGCGAAGGCAGAGCAGATGACACATTACGTGTAACTTCATGCATAAGAAAAAAAGAAAAAGAAAGTGTTTTTCTACTACGTTTCTTGTTAAAACATAGTGAGACCCATCGATGGGCCTCATCGCCTCGGAAGGGTTAAGTACAAGCTGTCCACATTGCACTCGCATGGTGGAAGCATGAAACGTATACGTTCGAGCCAGTCTCGCCATAAAATCGAAGGTTGAAGCCGTGCTGAGTAACACCTTCAGCTGTCACGTGAACTCTTACACTTGTATCTATGAGTATAACGAACACAGAAAAACATCGATATCATAATATTGATATAAAAATTGGTTAAAATATTATGTCACCTGCCGTGAAATCGAATCCAGTAAGTGCAACAGCTATCTGGGGGATTTGATCAAAACTACGAGGAAATCTAACGTATTCAACGTGATCTCTTGAACGACAAAAAGTTGGCAGACGATAGTCAGGAAGGAACACAGGTCCACCTATTTGACCTAGAAAAATATCAGGCTAATTGTAATTAACTGTACATATATAACATCAAGTTCCTACTTACATTCGCCACCACAGGCGATCGCTGCAAAAGCTAGAATTGCCAGCGTAAACCAAACCAATGATGATAAGTACATATTCACGGAGCAAGTTTTAGAAGGTAGAAATGTACCGAAAACTTTTTTGTAACGACGCCGAAGAAATATACGAACTTTATGTAGAAAATATTTTGTATTCTTTCTTAAACACTAAGCACATATTGATTCAAAAAAATGTTTGGAAGATTACAAAATGCTTTGTTGTAGTTTTATTGACACGCATACACACCAGAGCTAAATTATTTGCATATGAATTTTTGAGAAGTTTTAGAGGAATATAATAGATCGATGTTTTTTCGAAGGACAAAGAAATATTGGCGATTAGGAAGTCGTTTTACTAAGCTTTATTATACATCAATGTTTTTTCAACGGATCAACAAAAATGTCGGTGATTAGGAATAAAACAAATGACATGAGCATTTCGTGTAGTCCTCGTTTTTTTGATATTGCGTGGTATGACAAAGTCTTGAATAATTTTGGACGTTAACTGAAAGAATAGAGGTGTATCAAAGTCTAGTCCTTCAAAAACCTGGAAAACGACGGTCTCTCAGATATTTTGTTTATAAGTCTTCCAGCTCACGCCAAAACTTATTTAATACTTGTTCCAAGTCGTAATCTCTGTCGCAAGGTCAGATTTAAAACGTATAATGAAAAGTAGGATGTGGGTGTGGATCCGGTCTTCATTCATACCCACACCCCACCCACATCCACACCCCACCCACACCCACACACCCACGCCCGCACCCACACCTACCCACAGCCACAACCACACCCACACATCCACACACCCACACACCCACACCCACACCCACTCTCGATAAGACAACAAAAAGAACTTCTTGTGTTCTGCTTGTCCTCAACCTGAAGACAGCGGGATTCAAGAGGTTAATGTATCACACATTGTGTCGTAAAGCACGACACATGCGTGTAATAACCGTTTAAGGGAAGCAACTAGTTAAGGGAAAATGTAGACACCATCGTAGAGACACACGAAATCGTATAATGGAAAATTCGTATTGACTAGAAAAAATCTGAGTGCATCTCACTATGCTAAATTAATCTTTAAATTATGTCAAAAATTTATGAAAAAATACTAAATTGAAAGAAAATATTGCAAAAACTTCACATGTGTAGTCTAATTGCCATGCGTGTTGAGCAGTTTTTATCGGATTCTTTCGCGCTACAAGTTGAGTTATCCTATAAGACCATTCACTTATTTTGATGAGAATACTTCATTAAACAGTTATTCGAATGGTTTTCTGTGTAATAATATAATTCAGTTTAAGATGAAACATCTTAAACGAGTAGGACAGAGCTGTTTTGTTGATTCGCTTCTAAAATTAGATGGTTTGGTTTGCCGCATGTGACTGTTTCAATTGATTACTAAAAAGCTATGTTGTAAAATGAAACGAATTAGCTAATGTAACGAGTTGAATGCTGAAATTCGTTCTTCTAAACTCAAATCGCAGTGTATATTTGCTTGCACAAAATTATTAGCGTAGAAATTATACAATTTAGTGTGCAGATTTAAATAAAACAAAACAAACTAGAACTTTTAAGTTTAATATCACAAGCCTCAAATTTAAAAAAATTGCAATAGAAACACAACTAATAATAAAAATCTGTATTTTGGAAACATTTATTCTCTAGTAGCGGCTAGTTTTTCGTGCTAAGTCTATGTGCCATGGCATGATTTCATGTGCCTCTACAATGGTATCCATATTTTCTCTTAACGCGTTGGATTCCCTTAAACGGTTACCACACATGTGGAACGTGTTGTTTTAGTGTATGTAATAAAAAAGTTGTTTTTTTTCCTTGAGTCAATATAGAAGAAACTTCGTCGTTATATTTATCTCTTATCTTATGCAATGTAGTAATTACACAACAGATCTGATGTAGTAAAACGAAGTGGATGTCAATAAAGAATATATCGAGTAATGGAGAAGTCAGTGGAGCTCAACAAGAAGATAATTTCGTGTCGTTTAGCCACGACGAACGATATTGATCAAATTTGTGATTCAATCGACGATCGTAATTTTATCCGTTCTTTTCTTGAACGGTCCGTGGCGTCATCTCACTGTCATGTCGCTCTTTGGAATGACACATTCATCGTTGGTTATGTTGTACTTGACTATTCTTTCTACGCACAAGCTTTCATTTCAATGATTCGTGTCCATCCGTCGTATCGGCGACAAGGTGTTGGTCTTGCGTTGATGCATTATTTGGAAGAGGGAACTTTGATTACTACAAAGAAAGTATTCACATCGACGAATCTGTCTAATTTACCCATGCAATCATTGCTCGCTAAACTGAAATATCAACTGACTGGAGTGATTCACAATTTGGACGATGACGGAGATCCAGAATTGGTTTATTACAAGGTTCGAACGACCTAGTTAGACTTTATCACGTTCAAATACGTATATTAAAGAATATCTTCAGTTTCAAATAAAATTTCCGAATTCTACTATTACTTTTATTTTGCTGACAGTTACCTGCTAATTTTCTTTCAAATTAACAAATCATTGATATATTTCGAAGGTTTTAGTATGGAAATTAAATTCCTTCGACAGATTTCTCGATTCTATTTTGTGGAACTCACGTATTTTGTTTTTGAAGAAAATAGTGAGTGTAAGTTTTAACTAGAAGTTCTGTGGCTTTCACTCATCCCCTCCCTATTACAGACCTGAGCAACGGGGGTTAAGCGTTATTGAGTATGCTTCCATAGCAATCGAGGACAACGAGCATCAGAATAGTCTACCATAATTCCTTAGTAACGGAATACAGGCACTGAGCGATATTAATAGTAAAGCTTTTAAGATTCTAGAGCGTTTCAGAACCTTCCTTGAAATTTGTGCAGATATTAAGTTCTAATTTTCCGAGGAAAATAAATATCAGTCTTTTTGAATTCATAGAAATTATATAATAGACTGTGAAGGTCTACTGTAGATATAACGAATGTGTACAATAGGATTATTTGTCCATTAAATCCATGGTTAGACTAATGATAATAAAGCATGAAAATGCAATAAAAAGAGAAAATAAATATCGAGCGAATATCAACAACACAAATAAAAAAAGAGCGCCAGTCAAAACAAAATTTCTGTTCGAAATGTATAAATAAAAAAGACAAAACGTTTGCTGACAATCGATTATCGTTGAAAAGGAACTATCGTCTTTTAGAGATCTTTCATTTTGTTTATTTTGTATCCCATATTTCAGCTCCAAAGAGGCTCTGTTAACAAGCTTTTCATTGATTTTTTTCTGCTACTTCAGCTAATAGATGTTAGAAAACAACTTCGTTCGAAAAAATTACTCATTTTTACTTAAAATCATGGAGATCTCGATGCAAAGGTGAGTGTGGGTGTAGGTGTGAGTGGTTGAATAGATAACGAAAACAATCACATTCTCACCCACATCCATATTTCACATACACTCATCCACTATGGTGAATAGGGAAAAAATAATTTAAAAGAGAAGTGTTTGCATGGCATTTGTTTCTCTTTATATGTCGTCTATAATTGCGCTTATATCAAACTGTGCAGATGTAAATATCACCTATTCGTAATTATAACAAATGATTAGCAGAAAATAAGGGAAGAAGAAAAACAAAAAGTATAATATGATTAATAGGACGATACGATGAGTTAAAAAATAAGAAATAGCAACCACATGATGTCCCAAAAGTCATGATCACTTAATAAATGCAGATAACTCGGCTATTAATCAAGCTTAATCAAAACCGTTGTTTTTTATTTGTAATAAGAAACGAATAAGGTTCGATTTGTGAAGACCAAGTTCACCAACAATGTAGAAAGCGTAATACTTTCGGTCTCAGCTTAAAAATCAGGCTTTTTTTTATGCTACCAACAATACACTCACACCCCAGAACTGATTGATTTTATACACTTGTAACTAATCGTTATCTCTCACTGTATTTTATCATTTTCAATTGAATCATTTTCCTTTTTGTCTTCAGAAATCTTTCGCTTGTGTGAGTTTTCTTCGATTGGATCGATTTCAAATCTTTGTCAAATATTTCGATGTTTTCTTTTCATCACGAATTCAGACAAAAGTCGAGTTAATGACTGAAGTGGATACATTTCAGAGAATACAATAGAGAAACTATTCAAAACGGACTCATCAACTAACTTGAATTTAGTGAATTGAAAATATTTGAGTATAGTTCGATAAGACTGAAAATCATTTGCGGATTCGACAACTTAAGAAATCTTCAGGAGAAAAATTTCTAATTTTGTTTCGAGATCAAATTCTAAGATTTTTTCTTCTCATCGATCTTTCGAATGTGAAGGTCAATCAGCTTTTCTCAGGCTGAGCAAGAATTCAGGAGAAACGATCACTGTTCGAAGAAATCAATCAGAATGATCGATTCTATCAAGAGTTCTCTTTTTATCAGATGAAAACAAGACATGATGTCAAAGTTTCGATAATTCTCACACAAATCTCAAAGATTGAAGTGTATTCATTCGAGACAACAGAACAAAACGATCTCGATCGAAAAGAATCAATTGACACTGATCAGACACTTTCGTCAATTCCTATAAAATCAATTGTTGCCTTCGTTGAGAAAATATCGATTAGAGCGCGTTTTCTTACATTCACTAAGAAACATTTCTTTAAGAATAATGAATGAGTCCTTGAGCTTTCTTTGGTTTGTTTAAGTGAATAATCTTCGGTTTTATTTCTTCATTGATTCTCAGTCGAGGGTGTGGGTGTGGATGTGAATGAGGAGAAGACCCATACACCCACACACTCGACAAATGATTGTTTTTTTTTCTTTTGAGTAACAAATCTTGTTGATTGATTCGATCTCGATATCATTTGAATAACATATTTTGATTGAGGTCAACATCGCACAAGATCTATCATTTTCTATCGAAGAAATTGTGTGAGAAGAGGATTGTTGCGAATAGAGTTCACAAAAAAAAAATGTTCCTGCTCAGATCCATAAGCGATTCCTCCATTGAATCATCGTCTGTGTTCGAAAAGTTCTCCGACAATTACCGAATGAACTCCATTTATCTTATCGAAGAAAAAGAATCGAATGAGAATTGTGCACAACTGGAAATACTTGAACTCGATCACTAATATGACTATTCGAGAAGATTTAATTCCTTCAGACAAACAGAATTAATTAAATTTAATTTTTGATCAAACTTATTTGAAAAGATTTGCTCGACAGAATTAATTAACTCTTACCTGCACCAATAGACTTGAAAATAAAAGATCAAGATGAAGAACTAAGTGTCTCATTATTTCATTTCTCATTTTTATCAATGTCATTATTAATCGGAATCATTTTTCAAAAAAAAAAGGAGATCCAATCTCAAAACAGAAAATGGATTTTTGTTGATAAAAATTTGTACTTTTCGGAAATGAACTTGTCTTTTTTTAAAAAAAATCAAGATTGTGAATCAAAATAATTAGTCTCTTTTCAATTGACCAATATGTCAATGAACGATTCTTCCTTCGACCGTCAATCTTAATGATAAACAATGATTTCGTTCAAGAATTGAGAAACTTATTTGATTCGATTGATTTGAACAGATAGAAGACTATTCAAAGATATAAACAAATATCTTAGTGATATAAGTCTCTCATATCAAAATTGCTTTATTCAAATGATTCATTCAATCATAAAAGATATCTTTATCAAGAATAAGAATTTATTCTTAAAAATGAAAATCAAAAGAAAACAAATCTTAATTCAAATAATAATGATGATCAATATTCTTTTTCTATTGTAAAATCGTTTTCTCTATCAATCGAGATTTTCTAACGAAGATTCTCTCTCAAGTTTCTTTCCTGACCAAAGTGTTGATGAGAGATAACTTTTCCATTGAATCAATATTTATCTTACCTAGATGTTGGAGTTTAAGAAGACAATGAAGAACTTAGAGTGTTGTCTAATTGCGAACATCAAACGTGAGGAAAATGAGCGAATAATGTGGAGAATAACCGAAAACGATCCTTACCCATGTTTCCTATTACGAACGATTTATGATGCAGTGACGCAATCGTTCGGGAATATCATTGCTCAATAACATCGATATGAAGGTGCAAAGCCATCGCAGTGATTTCGTTTATCGGCTTGCAACAGTCATTATCTGGATCGATAATAACAACGACTATCAAGAGGCAAACACCAAGCAACGGTTGGTATAGATGGAAATACTCCAATACTATACTAAGAAATGAGTAATAAGCAAACAGGGGTACAACCAATATTTGCAAGCTATCAAATTAACTCATCTTGGAAAGATCGAGAAAGATAAATATTGTTTTACGAATGACATCATCTTATTTTCATATATATCACTAATAATCGCACTTTATATTCTACGCAAAATGGACTTTAGTCAAAGAGCTGCTGAAACTGACAAGGTTCATTGTTTGACAATACTAATATATTCGAATCATAATGTGTTTTCTTCTATTTTCCTCGCTAGCCCACATACGGCTATCAGGTCAACATCGAAGGTTCCTCCTTAAACAACTATGCTGCAAGTGCACGAGTCAGTGGCGGAATACATGTTAGCAACATTTGAATTTTTCCAAGAAAAGCATTTTCCAATCTTTTGATCTTAGGATCAATCGTTTTCATTAAAACTCGATTATGAAGTAGACGCTACATTCCGCGTCCCTTTGGGCGGCTGAAAATAGAAAACTGAATGTAACTATCTTATTAATCTTGATCATTTTCTGTACTCTTTTATTTTAAAACCTTTCTATGCGTCCCATTTTCTAAATGAAAAGAATATTCACTGTCTGCAATGATGATAGTTTGCATTCAAACTAACGAGTAGTCTATAAAAATCGGACACTTTTCTATTTATTCTCGACGTGATTAAGACTAATAATTGGTTCATTGGTCAACCATATGAGTTTATTAGAGAGTTCAATCTCAATAAGTAGAAGAGTCGGATGAAGTTATCTCGAACTAAGTGGAAGTTAGAAATGTCAAAGAAAATGTTCATTAGTGCACTATTTTTCTATTTTTTTTTGTACTCTTGGCCTTTATCGACTTACTTCCTGAATAAACTCTCTTTTATCTTTCACTTGTATAAATCAATTATAATAGAGCGAATCAAATCTCCTTGAATTATTGATAGCATTTCTCAATATACGTATATCGTGAACGAGTTTATTGATAATGATTGTCACGAATAAAATGCAACAAGAAACGAGGATGTGAGTGTAGGTATCTGTCTTCTTTTCCACGTAATTCACATCCACATCCAAAATTGACGTCTACTTGCTGAGAAACGTTGTTTAATCCTTTGAGACCCGACTTTCTTTTATGAAAGAAATAAAGTTCTCGCGTCAGAATCAGTTATAACCTGAAAAGTAAGAACTATCATAATTGTAATATTTGTTCTTACTTTAACGACACAAATAGAGAACTTTGAGATAGAAAAAGCATCTCGAGTTCTACCCGAGACAAGCTCGAATAGATAAGTCAGCGGACTGCAGCCTTTGATGAACGTCCATATGTGATTGTGATAGCAATAGGAAGAATGGCAATTAAGATTATCCATAGTAAAATAATTATTCAATATACACCTGTAGTTGTGAATTTATTTTAATATAAAAATTGAAATCTCAATTCTGTTTGAAAATATCTCCTTTTCAGTTAAGTCTACTTTCTATAGAGTTCGAAAACAAATTGAAAATTCCTTCAATTATAAATCCAGAACAGACACTAAACATGATTTTGAATAATCTAGAGAAGATCTTGATCAAAACATGATAGATTTCTATGAATTCAGAATCCTGCCTAATCCTTCTAGGGTTTCACTTCATGAATGAGCATGATAGAAAAAAAGAAATCTCATTAAATAAAATAATTAGTAATTCTGATTTGTGATTGAAAAAGTATAAAAAATGGCAAAGTGATAGACTCAAGCTCCTAATGTGCGAAGTTCTTTTTACATCCTGTTCCGTGATGATCTGTGATCGAGAAATTCGATCTTGATGCGTATTATTGATTGATACAATTTGTTGAGAATATTTTTCTTATGCGATCAACGATCGAGCTCCATAACGTATGCGATCCATCTTATATTGTTCATCTGCACTGACATAATGGAACGAAATCGTGTCTTCACTGCAACAGTCAAATCCCTAAAATTTTATACATTTTAAATAAATAAAAAAAAACAGATGAAAATTCTTTATTGATCACTTACAGATAACGGTTGATTTTCAGCATATTCACCGAGCCAATCAGGAAAGTTGCCAAAGAAGTGATCATTCAAATCCAATGGATGAAAACGCTCACGTTTGTGTTGATCGATCGATTTACCTGCTAAGACACCAACACTGCGAAGACATTTAGCAATCTCAATATCTTCACCACCACCATCTTCCTGACATTGAGATTTCGAATCATTATTAGCCAAGTAAAATCGTCTCAATGCTTCACGACTCAACACATATGAAGCTCCACCTGAATGGTATCCGTTTGGAACGTATGGCTGTTAAAAAATACAAAATTGATCATGTAATTCAAAGTTTAGCTTACGAAAAGAATAATAGAGAATGGACTCCAAAAGAAATTAAGTCTGTGAGATGATGTGAAAAACTCTATTACATTTAGGAGCTGAAAAGCATTCGAATGGTTCATAATCTAGATGAGTATTTTCAAACTTCAGACAATCGATGAGCGTTCAAGTAGAAACAAAATCAATGTTTCAATATTCTTCATACTACGAGTCAAATCCCTTAGGATCCTATCGAAAGTTGTTGCAATCTTTTTTATTTAATCTTGTCGATGGAATTCTAGAAATGATGAGAATAGAGAGTACAATGATCAAAAACCATAATAACGTGTACTTTTCTGCTGAGCGATATGTGATCATTATGAAATTAGAGTTGATTATTTTAATTTAGCACTCTCAGTTCGATATCAGTTCGAATTCTTATTTAAACACGAATCATTAGTATAGTGAAATATTTTCCTTGAATTCGACACTTAGGTTTGTGGCGACTCTGGCCGATTAAATTCTTTCAACTCCTGAATAACTACTTAGCGTAGTAATGTGTAAAATACGCACAATTTTTTGCAAGTAATATAAATCAATTTAGTACTTGCTAGTTTGAGAGAAAAAAGTGCTGTATAAAATGTTTAATTAAAATTACAAACATGTATTGGAATACTTATTCAAACATTTGGAGTAGAGAAAAATAGAAATTTATGATTTTTAGCAATTTATCACTCTCAATACTTTCTCTAATTTTCATGGATTTAATTGACTTTAGCTCAGTATATATCGTTTGTTAAAACTTAGGACCATTGTAATCATTTGAAACCGTTTAAAAAAAGAATAAATTTCATCATTATCACAAAAAATCAAACAAATTCAGCAAAAACTACTCGTAATCAGTAAAATTCATGTTTCAAATCATTGCAAATCATTTAAAATCACCTAAATAATTGAAAATAAGCAACGTTATATGTTTATCACGAGGGTCTGGTATCTCCTATCTGAGCTCATGTGTGACTGAAGACTTCTGATTTTGGATAATTTTATTTTATTCAAAGTAATTTTACAGGATTTTTGAAAAGTTAAAAAAATACTTTTGAGTGATTCTAAATGATTTTATGTGTTTCTTAATATTTTCAATTGATTTCGAGAACTTCATGTGTTTCTAGTATGAAATGCTAATTTAATCTTTCTTCAACGGTGTACTTCACTATCAACAATTCTTTGTGAAAAAATCTTATGCTTGTATTATATTTAGAGAGTGCATATTTCGGCTCTTCAACATTGACGATTGATCTCAATAAACCTGAAATAGAATGATTTATAATGAATGATACTCGAAAAGAAATTGACTATGTTTAAGAACGATTTTATTATTTTCTGATAATAATAGTGGCATAATAAACGTAATGTTATATCTCTGTCTTTCATGGCACAATACATTATAAGAAATGTGATGTTTGAAAAAGATACTATATGCAACACACTAAACATTTATTGTGTGTTCTTTTTCTTAATTACCATTTGACTTTATAACTCATACTTATATGAAGAACGGTGAATGCAAATAGTAAATTTCATAATGTAAAGCAAATCAAATTGAATCATATTCAATTCTGCATTTTATTTTCCATGTATAAGTCAAATCATTGAATTTTTCAAACTTCAATCCTACGTAATTTCTTCCTTTTTTTACTCTAATTTATGGCTATAGGTTTTACTGATTTTTCTAAGAACATACAATTATTTAAATTAGAACTTAGTTAAATATTACTTTAAAATTATATCCAAATGTAATTGGTTCGGATTTGTTTTGTTTACTTAAAAATAATTTTAAATTTTCAACTATTAAATAAGTATCATCGTCTGCTTTAACGAACCAATCGAAATCATTTTGATGATGTTCATATGCGAAATGAAAGCTTAATCTTGATTTTAATGTTAAATGATTATACCCAGGTAGAGTATTGTTAATTGATGCTATTGGCATAGATTTAATAAGTTGAATCTCATTATGCGTTAGATTTTTTGGTATTATCTCACAAATAAAATAATATTTGTCACATCGTGATGCCCATGTTTCATGAACAGCTCGTGCTCTTGTAAGAAGAGTATTTGCTGATGTAAAAATTAAACAGAGAATACGAGTTAGATTCTGCCCCGTCTGATTATGACGATAATGTAAAATAGTTTCATATGGATCAAGATTAGAATTGAGTCCATAATGAATATAGAAAACGATGATTAAAACAAAGATGCTAATACCAACTCCAATCCGAATTGAACGTTTCTTTCTAATACGTGACGATATTAGATTACATTTCATTTGAACCAGATTGATATTCGTGTCCTTTTTATTTATTATGTTAATACTAGAGTTGATGAAAGAAATAGCAAAGAAAAGGAAGAATAGAATGTAACGAAAATATGTGACGTTGAGGAATGGATAAATAAGAATAATAATTGAAGTTACTAAGCTCTTAACTTTGTCTTGGCTTCTGTTGATTCCTTCACACTTTCGTTACTTGTCGCTATCACTTGCTCTTTTATTTCAATAATACCACTCTTTTTTAACATACGAAGTTATACACCACTATGTATGTCCCTCACACTTGTATATATCGTTGTTCAATCTTACTCTCACTCTTCACTTTTATCAACTGGTATATTCTTCACCCTTCTCTTTCCTCTTTCTCCTTCACCTTCTCGAGGATAGAGAGCAATGTGAGTATATACCGGATGTAATACAACGATTGTACAAGCGTTAACAAAGGACAGTGTATAACGGAACAATTACAATAGTATTAAGAATGAACACTGTATAACGGAACAATTACAATAGTATT